CAAATAACAAGATAGGTAAACCAGGCATAGTGGTACATGCCCATAATCCCAACAGCTTGGGAGGCTTAGGCAGGAGGATTTTGAGTTCAAGGCTGGCCTCTGCAACTTAGTGGTAAGAAGAGTAGAAATTTTTATCTGGGGGGGGGGAGGACAGGTAAGATCTATTACTTTACAAAATACTAGGAGATGATATTTGATAACTACAATGGGATCTTTTAATTTCCATGAAGAATTGAGTGTTCTACTCTTAAATAAGACCAAATATCATTTCTCCCTTTTTTTTTAAATTTTTTTTAATTTTTAAAGTTTTCTAATTAGTTATACATGAAAGTAGAATGTATTTTGACACACTGTATACAAGTAGAACACAGCTTCTCATTCCTCTGGCATATATGGTGCAGTCATACCAGTAGTGTAATCAGACATGTATACTGGGTAATAACGTCCGTCTCATGTCTCCCTTTTTATCTATTCTTTTATCCATACAACTGCAGATACATATCTAGGTGGCTGGCCTGTCTATAGTTTAATTCCACGTTTCAAACGAATATTTTATGGCCACAAAATGAAGATATCTAATCTCAGGTACCTTAAAAATGTTCATTATGGTAATTAAGACAGACTAGAAGTGAAGGTTTACTGGAGACCAACAACCTGAATTAAAAAAAAAAAAAATCTACATATGTTACACAATGTGACATTCTCTTACTGATACATCATACCAGTCTTGGGATGGAGGTATATGTTTAATGGCAAAGTGCAACCATTAGGCAAGGCTCTGGGTTCTATCCCCAGCGGAAAAAAAATCAAAAGATTTTAAAATCTGTGAGTTTATGGTTCAGATTTCCAGATTTCACATTTAAAAGACTTTAAGGAATGCAAATTATAAAGACATTCAAAATAGCCTTCATTATCTATTTCCTAGCCAATAAATATTAAATATTTAAATTACCTAAAGGCTATTTAAAGATATTAGTAAGTTGAGTAAGAAACCCAAAAGTGCCATTACTAAAAACCTTGACTTTTGCATAGTCTTATCATACTTTGGTTCACCGTTTTTCTAATTTAAAATCAATTTACCTTTCCCAGTTATAAATGTGACTGTGAGTTTCATCCATAAGCAAAATATCATCAACTTCATCTTCAATGTGAAAAGGATGGCTTGAAATTGGCTCATCCATTGGAAAAGAATATATACTCATATAAGGATGAGAGAGTGCTTCCTCTGCTGTCAATCGATCCATGGGGCTAAATGTCAAAATTTGTTCCAGGAAATCCAGTGCTGCAGTGTAAGAAGAGTAGAAATTTTTATCTGTAGAAAAACTGAAAATGTTGGTCTCATTCAATAAAAATGACTAGTTGAATGACTATTTTACCACTTCTTACTACACAATAGGAACAAAACATCTTAACTGTACTTAAGAGGTCTGCCAACTGATAAAGGGAAAAGAATAGACTATATAACTAAAGGTAAGTTAATATTTGTCAGAGAAATAAAATTACCTGACTGATTAAAAAGAAAGGCCATTTCTTCCATCAACATGGTAAATATTTGAAATGTACTCTGATCTTATTATGGCCACACACTAATACTCTATGAAATTGCTGTTTTTGTCAAATGGTCAAATAACAGCAATTTAACATGGTTTAACCTAATACCTAGGTCTTATTCCCAGCTCTTCAACTCACTAGCTTAACTGAATTACTAGCTGTGTAATGCTAGATAAGCTACTTAAACTTACTAAACTCTAATTTCATCAAGTATAAAAATTTAAGGCATAGTGTCTGGTCTTAATAAAAGCCTTTCTCCCTTCCCTTCCTTCACTAACTTAGCTGCTGCTGTTTACCTTAATCACACTCTAGCACAGTTCACACATTACACTTTATCATTTTAGGATTCTG